ACCAAGAAGTAGTGTTGGATTTTTACCAATGAATTCTCAGCATCTATGGAATTAGAAGCAAATGATTTTCTTGCCCAGAACCCCTTTCTAGATGCAGCCGTATGATTAATTCTATCACCGGATGTCCTACATAGTTCTGGTGTGTGTGCTTGTGCTGAACTCACAACGGTAACATTTTATTTAGGATTTTTACGTGAATGTTCTTTTTGCGAGATAGGCCTTTTCTTTTTCTATCAAGCTTTATCAGGTTTTACTAGCTTGACTAAAACAATGTCATTTTCTCCTCCTTTTAGGTTCTTCTCTTGCTAGGCATTGAAATTAATCTTTTTAAAGTAGTATTGCCCTGTGAAACCATATATTTGTGGTAATGGGGGGAGGCAAGCACAGACAATTGTTTCCATGGAGATCTGCTTAGATTTTAAAACTTCAGTTTTGGAGAATGATAAATTACATAATCTTAGAAGTTTTCAAATGTATTCATGTAGAATTGAACAAAATAGTTTTTTATTATCTTTTCAGTTCCTTTTTTGTTACAGTGATCTCTCCCTTATTTTGTATATTTTCTTTTACTGTCTTTTTTCATTATTAGTTTAGCCAGCAGTTCATCTATTGTCTTTCTCCCCAGAAAATTAGTTTCTGATTTTTTTTTTTTTTAGTTCTACTTTTCTGCTTTCAGAAGCGGACACATTTGTTAACAGCCCAAGGCAGAGGTAAAAATGCCTTTAACAATGGTGAGAATGACACCTTCCCAATTGTCACAAATGCCCCGTTGCCACCTTGTTCCCTAGAGACAGCGGAAACCCTGTGCATAAATGGAAGAGCGGGGCAGGAAAGGCTTGAGTCTGAAGGATCTGTGGCTCTGCTTGCAATGCGAGGACTTCTTGCATTCTAACAGCCAACTGCCGAAAATCTATTTCGACTGAAATTAAAACCCAGCTCAACCATCACTCTTAAAAATCAAAACTGGGGGCACCTGGGTGGCTCAGTCGGTTAAGCGTCTGACTTCGGCTCAGGTTATGATCTCACGGTCCATGGGTTTGAGCCCCACGTCGGGTTCTATGCTGACAGCTAGCTCAGAGCCTGGAGCCTGCTTCTGATTCTGTGTCTCCCTCTCTCTCTCTCTCTCTGACTCCTGACTCCCGCCCCCCCCACTCCCCCCCACCCCACCCCCGCTCATGCTGTCTCCCTCAAAAAAAAAAAAGCAGTAAAAATTAAAAAAAAAATAAAAACTTTATCAATCCTAGGCTCCACCAAACCTTGCACCATTTAAAAAAAAAAATAGACAAAGGGGCACCTGGGTGGCTCAGTCAGTTAAGCATCTGACTTTCGCTCAGGTCATCATTTCCTGGCTGGTGAGTTCAAGCCCCACATCTGGCTCTGCTGTCAGCACAGAGCCTGCTTTGGATCCTTTGTCTCCTCTCTCTCTCTCTCTGCCCCTCCCCCGCTCATGTTTTCTCTCAAAAAACAAACATTAAAAAAAAAGAAGAAATAATTATTGGGTTCTGGAGAAGGACTGAAAAGCCAACAATTTCATCTATATTTCCCTTTCTCCCTTTTAACGTGGCCTGTTAAAGTAGATTCAAGAGAGGGGTTTAGCTCTGACCCTTACTAGCTGTGTAACTCTGCACAAATAATGTTAACTTTTCTAGTTCTCAGTTTATTCACCCTCCCAAGAGTATTTTATTTGGCAGTCCTCATAAAGCCTTCCAGCTGATAGGCAGAAGTAGAATATCTGCTGCCCCCTGCTGACGCTTTGACGAATTGCAAATTTTACCTTTCCAAAGCATAGAATCCAAGTTTGTGTCTGTATGGTTTACATTTTGTGGATCTAATACTTTCTTACAGTTCCATTCATCTGTCTTCCTATTTATAAGTCAGAAGTCTTTTACAATAAAATAGTGTCTTGAACTTTAAAACAATCTTGTTACTTTTGCTGTTCAAACTTTCCTTCCTTCCTGAATTCTTTGGAAGTTTTGTTGCAACCTCCCACTGCTGTGATGGATTTTTAGAATTTTCTTGTGGTTGTTAATTTTTGTTTTATATTTTTTGAGGCAATTTTAAATTGGCATATACAAGGTTAGAATTATTTTAACTTCGTAGTGAGAGTTGATTTCTTAAGAACTTAAGTAGCTTTCTCTATCCCTGATAATGCTTTTTTCCCCTGGAAGCCTATTTTCTCTGATATGAATAATTATCTAGGCTGACCTTTGGAATGTATGCCCAATGTATCTTCTTGATCATTTCACTTTCAAATGTTCCATATCCTTATGGTTTAGGTGTGGATTATTTTTTCAATTTGAATTCTTTGATCAACCACTCTCAAAATCCAATCCTAGTAGTATATCCTTGGCACCTGCCAGTATATGTGAGCTAATTCTTACACTTGATTTCTAGTCTTTTCTCCCTTAACAGGTCCAGCACATCCACAGCCAGGCTTTGCTAGGCTTTGAGACTAGTTATTGGCCAACCAACCAAGAGAGTAGTTATTGTCTGAGGAGGAGGGGTGCTTAGAGGGAGCCAAAGGACTAAGCATGGAGCTACGCTCACAACTATGCGATTACAAAGAACACCAAGCAAAATCAGCAGAGGGAAAAGGCACAGGAACAAAGTCCAGAGGAAACCAGGCACAGGCTCCGAGGATCTCCTTCCAGTTGAGTCATACAGAATGAGCTTAATTCCTCCAACAATGATGTGTAACACATAAAACACTGTCCATCAGTGAAGCTTGCCTGAGCCTTGGCACGGAGTCCAGGGTTTTTACTGGGCTCTGTTACACAGGCACTCTCTGCCTGGCATGTATCAAAATTCCAGATTCCCAGAAGGAAAGCTGGTGTGCAACCTAAGTCTTCTGGTTTGTACAAAGATTTCAGGCACAGTCCTTATCAGTTAGGGAACGGGGGTAAGGGTGGTGGGTACCCTCCTGAAATCCAAATTGCTGGACACTAGCCAAAGGTGCACTTTGCAGGTAGGCTTTTCTAAGAACGGGTTCAGGCACACCCTCTAGGAAACACTTAGTAACTGAGCCCATGACCTCATGCCAAGGACTATATGTACCCCACTTACCTAGGAGGATGTCATTCTCTTCACCCTCTGGGTGGGAGATGAGCCAGCTCCTAATCTACTAACCCGTTTCCTCAGATCTCACTCCTGGTCCACTTGCGTTACCCTGGGTCCTCCGAGAAGCAGACACCAAGACCAAGAAGATTGGTCCGCTGTGTAACAGATTAGGAGCAATGCCGGTGAGGAAAAGTAGGGCGGAAGCTGGAAGCAACCAGACTCTGATGCAGGTATGAGCTCAGCTGAATCAAAGGACGGACGGTTGGGTGAAAGCAGTTCAGGGGCGCTTGGGTGGCTCAGTGGGTTAAACGTCCGACTTCAGCTCAGATCACGGTCTTGGGGCTCGTTAGTTCGAGCCGGGAGTCGGGCTCTGCTGACTGCTTGGATTCTGCTTCGGAGCCTGCTTCAGATTCTGTGTCTCCCTCTCCCTCTGTCTCCCCAACTTGCTCTTTCTCAAAAATAAATAAACATTAAAAAACAAATTTAAAAAAAAGAAAGCAATTTAGATTATCATGTGATTCTACAGGAGTCTGGCAAGACCATCAAGGAGTCAAGTCAAAGTCAGGGGCTCATAACATCCGGGTCAAGGCGGCAGCTGGGGAAGCTGGAGTCTCGTGCTCAGGCAGGGCTGGATGTGACAGCGCAGCAGCCAGGCGGCCTGGCATCGCTGGAGATCCAGGACACACACTGCTGGCTGCCACCACGGGGCTACAGCTGTCCAGATACACCTGAAAAAGATGTATTATCAAACAAATATTTAGCACCAATAGCACATGGTACCTAGCAAGAATTTTAGCTTAAAAAAAAACTTATAAAACTATGTAGAATAGAGCACTGGTTAAGAACAAAAAGGTAAATCATCTTTTAAGTTTCACAAACTCTACATCCTGTGCAGATGAATTCTAGGGAAGAGACTTCCAAACTCCTTAGTGAACTGGGAGCTTAAGCTGACAGACAGCATTAGAACTAAATCAAGGTTAGTCAACGACAAAAAATTATTTCTAAATGTTCCTAACTTAAGTAATTTTCTGAAATATAATTTGTATTCATTAACACTTAGAGGAAAATATCATTTGTAAGTTTATCTTCCTGACTGACCTCAAAAACTCTTAGCAAAGAAAAGGCATTCCTACACATTTTACACCCAGTTCTTAGGCTATTAGCGACCACGTGTAAAACTTCTGAGACAAACGGAATAATGTTTCCAGATATTTCTAAAAGTTATTTTACAAATAATTTGGGAACTTCTAAAACTATAGGCTCAGGTGATAAAATAGAAGAATGTCCTCTTACATGGTATCTAACAGAATTGATTTTCTTTTCTTTTTTAATTTTTTAATGTTTTATTTATTTCTGAGAGAGAGAGACAGTGTGAGCAGGGGAGGGTCAGAGAGAGAGGGAGACACAGAATCTGAAGCAGGCTCCAGGCTCTGAGCTGTCAGCACAGAGCCCCACGTGGGGCTCGAACTCGCGAACCGTGAGATCATGACCTGAACTGAAGTTGGATGTTTAACTGACTGAGCCACCCAAGCGCCCCTAAGAATTGATTTTCTGATTTGTTTCAGTGATATCCTCTGAGATAACACTGACTATTCAAGACTTGTAACACAAAACTAAACCCAAGGAGACCTGAGTCTTTGCCATCTGCTACATTTCAACAAAACACGGTCCCACAGTTGCTCGGACAGATCCTTCCAACCAACATCTTTTTAACTAAGCCAGACTAAGCAGTTCCTAAGATCAAACAGTTCATTACTATAAAAAGAAAAAAAAGAATAGAGAAAAGAAAAAAAATCATTCCAATACAGTAACTAGGTTTCCACCTTTTATACAGACTTTAGGACCTGTTGGTACAAATGACAAAGCTACTAGAAATAAAGAAATCAAAATATTTAATGTGAAAGAAACAAAATGTTTATTTTTTAAAAAATGAGATCAACACATTTTAATGTAGAAGATGCCATCTTTATTTACAGGCCAATAAAAAAATATTAAACTCAACTTAACTAGATATAATACATTTGTCATAAATCCTATCGATCTGAGGCCAACCCTAAGTGGAAGACTGAATAGGTGGAAAATGGTGGATTACATAACACAGATGTCAAATAATGTGCGGCTTACACACTAACCAATATATTTTGTTTCTAACATGAAAACAAAGTAAGTCCACTGTGTGGGGGAAGAAAACCAGCACCAGGCACACTGTTACTTTTTGACAACTGTCCGGTTATAATTACCAAGACTCACAACATTTTCATCTCTCTTAAACCTGTTTTAACAAGCCTCCAATCTCAAATGTTGTTGCTCCATCATACTCACAACAGATACCACAAAAGAGAATTTCAGAGGCTACAATGTAAATATATCTACACACATACACACAACCCTCACATTCTGTGGAACATTTTTCCTCAGCTATTTCGCTTGTGAATTTGTGTGTTTTTCTTTTTCCTTTTAAACTGTAATGGCTTTGCAACAGTTCTTTTCTGTTTGGTTTTGCCCTAGAAACTTGAGTATTAGGAATTTCTTCCCTGTAAGTGTGAAAATATAAAAACTGCTTCTCATTAGTTTATAATTCTTAGCTCCTCCCCCAGAGACCATATATTCTAAAATGACTTTTTAACTGGGTACTTTCTAAACACCTGCCAGGAAGCTCACGGTAGCAGCTGAGCAACAGGACTCTCACCTTTGCAAACCAGGTGAAGCAGGAATGAAACTACTGGGGAAAATTTTCATTCTGCTCTTCAGCCTTGAAAGTTTATTAAGTCATAACCATCCCATATGATTTATATTATGCAACATCAAAGTAGAAATTACAGCTCAAGGCTCTTAAAAAACCCCTTGTTGACTTTTTAGATTGTTCCTGAAAATCAAAAGGTTTTAGCTAAGATTTCCTAAGGATTCTATCTAGTGGATAAAGGATATTCTCTGAAAAAAATGCCATGGTCATCCTATCCCAGGCTGTGTTTTAAAAAAAGAAGAACATGTTTTTGAGTCACAACAAAAATGTTTTCAGATACGCTACAATGGAAATTTTTTTTTTGGCTAAATTAATATACTGACTAAAATCCAGTCTGCAGATCCTATGTCAATCCTGGGTTATGTGTTTGGTGTAGGGGGAATACATAAGGGAAAGACTCTTCTTCTTTTAAGAGGCCTAGCCTGTCAGGAGCAAACAATAACATGTAGCTTGCTTATTTGGTTGTACAATTTAAATACTAACTTCTGCCTGGAGGCAACGTCACACTACAAGTTATTTTAATATCAGTAACAATATACACTAGGAAGTGCATTTCTATTATAAACTAACATGGTGATAATACAGATGAACAAAACCACCCAAAACAAACCATAAAGGAGCAATAGTTAAAACATAAAATTTATAAATAGCAAAACCACCAAATAAAGTATATACATTGTATAGATTTATCTATGAACAAATATATAGTGCATCTAGAAAAGAAAAAAATGTGTTTTATATCACATAACATCTGACTATTACACATGAAGGTACTGATAATACTCTAAAAGCCTGTAGGCTTTCCTCCACTTAATATTCCCTTAAACATACATCCTTTAAAACCTTGACATTGGCAAAACTATCACCTCTTTAAATGCAGTGTTTTCACTTTCCCCACCAAGGTATTATGTGGCCCTCCAGGCTTAATCCTGGGATGAGAACAAACAAATCTGTAGTTTACATACGAGAGCACTTCAGTCAAACACTGAGATGAAAAGCCAACCAAACAATTCCTATATCAAAATGTCTTTGCCTTACCTTACCCACCAGTGCCTTGGCTTTTTAGATGATTGGCAAATTAGTTACTCTGAGAGAAAACTGCTGTTCAGATGAAATGTATTTCACTGACAAAGTTGAGCTTTTACTGCCAAAAAAAATGTATCTTTAAGTGCCAAGACTATCACAAGAAGACAAACTTTATGAACAACTCAAAATGTATAAAACTGTCTTTCGTGGATTCTAGAAAAAAAAAGACATCTGAGTCTAAACATTAATAATGTAATGCTCCAATACCAGGCACACAGATCAACATAATTGAGAACAGATATTTTACACTCATCTGCATTTCTTTTAAAAACCAGGAAAGTACAATGTACAATAACTTTTCAGAAAGTATTTCTAGTGCAGCATTGATTGATAAAGGATTGCTTAAAGAAAACTATTATGTACTGCATTGAATAAAGCTGAAAGGCAAACTCATGACACTAAATGATCATTAAGAACTGATTTAGATATCAGGATGCACAATAAATTAAGTAAAAAAACTAAAACCATTCTTTGAGCTAAAAAAAAATTAAGTCAAGCCTACATTTCTGCAATTCATTGAGTTAAGTTCTGTCCTCTGAAATACCACACTTAACATTCTGGAATATATATTTATTCTCGTATTTAAAGGTTATTTCTTATAAATTCCGGTTAGCATGGTCCTTCTACTAAATGGAAAAGGAGCCAAATAAAACAGTGGTGCTTCATTTGGTACTTAAGAGCCTAGTAATATCCCTTTGGGAAACACATGCTTTGGTGCTTTACAATTTTAGGAAAATCAAAATCGCTTTACATGCAATAGCTAGTTATGGTCTACCACAGAAAACAGGGAGTTTTATGCATTTAGAATTGTTCACATGAAGCCCTGAGGTGCCCGCCTTTCATTTAGGCCACAAGCCTCCCTTGATCTCATATAATCTGTCTCTGTCACCGGCTTCCCTAGTGCCCCAAACTCAGAAGAGTCTGATTAACAATCTCGTCTGCAGATAAAGTCAATTTAGTAAGATTTTTTGTGATACAGACTGTGCAGATCTTCTAGTTTAGAAGTACTGTCTTCTACAGGAGGTTCAGTTGAAGTTCCTAGGTCTCCATTTTCATGTCCATCAGTTACTGCCTTTTTATTAAATCCTAAAAGAAACAGAAAAAAAACTAGATACTTTCTATCTAATCTGAAAAAAGTCTTGCAATTTTATTGAGCAAAAACAAAGGAATACCCACTATAACTAGTAACAGTGTTAATCAAGTTGGCAATTTCTGACAAAGGAATTCTTTCTTCTTATAGCACATATCAAACACTGTACAGATTTTTCACATTATCTATTGGACCTATCAAAAAACTGTATGAAATTTCCTACCAGACTTTCGGTGAAATTTCCTACCAGAATTCTACTTATACAAATATATATTGAACAGTAAGTTATATGCTTCCTTCACATCTTGCTTTCAGATTATTTAACTTGAGTGTAGTCGGGCACATGCTAGCCTACTGCCAAAAATCTAGGTTGTGAGCAGGACTGTGTCCAGATAATATTTAAAACAAATTTTGGTTAATCTAAAAAATACATACTAGGCTTGCAAATAAATCAGAGTTGATTATATTATCTACTTAGTGAGCTATGAAGTCCAGACATGTGCTAAACAATAACCAATGGACATATTTTGTGGTTTAAATCCGTTACTAGTAATATATCATAAGAGCATACATTTCAGTTATATGAGTCACATTTTAAGTGGTCTGCAATTTACACAGGTAATAGAGAAATCTTTCATTTTATTTATTTATCTCCAGGCTCCAAGCTGTCAGCACAGAGCCTGATGCAGGCTTGAACTCACAAACAGGGAGATCATGACCCGAGCTAACGTCGGACGCTTAACTGACTGACCAACCCAGGCACCCCAAGAGAGAAGTCTTTTAGCCTCAGCTGCAAAAAAAGGAAGGAACAGAGCCTTCTATTCCTGACAGAAAATAGTAGAAAGGATGAAAGACCATGAAATCATAGGGAAAGCAGACTAACACTGTAAAGTTTTGACATATTGCCACAACAGTTTTGATCAAGATGCATGGGGAGAACACAATTGCTACTGCTGTCTACATGTAGATAATTCATAAGAGCCAGGCTTATCAAAAGAGCATTAGTTCATCAGTTCACTACAGAACTCTATACCAGACATTCTCAATTTTTTTGGTTTTCAGGATGCCTTTACACTCTTAATAAGTACTGAGGGTTCCAAAGAGTTTTGTTCATGTGGTTTACCAATGCTATGTGGGTTACTGATGTTTACCATATTAGTAATTAAAACCGAGAAGCCTAAAAAATTATTACTTTGTTAAAAATTAAAATAAGCCCCATAAATATTAATATAAATAGCATTTGTCTTAGTGAAAATAACTCCATTTTCCAAAAATTTAGTCAGAAGAGTAGCATAATTTTCAATTCTACAAATATCCTTCAAGTCTGGCTTTCTAGAAGATAGCTGGATTTTCTTATTTGCCTCTGCTTCATTACAAATATATGAAAAAGTTCATCCTCACGCAGATATATAGTTGGAAGAGAGGACGATTTTTTTTTAAAATGTTTATTTACTTTTGAAAGAGACAGAGCACACACGCGGGAGAGGCAGAGAGAGAGGGAGACACAGAATCTGAAGCAGCCTCCAGGTTCTGAGCTGTCAGCCCAGAGTCCAGTGCAGGGCTCAAACCCACAAACCCATGAGATCATGACCTGAGCCGAAGTCAGATGCTTAACCAACTGAGCCACCCAGGCACCCTGAGAAAACTAGTTTTAATAGCCTTTTCAGATAACTGTCAATATTCTTCTTTGATAGTACACCAAAATTTGACACCATAGAACTTGAAACTGTATCAATGAACTGTTCACTTTTTGTTACATTAAAATCCACTGGTCTATCTTACAGTTTGAATGGCTCTTTTACCCATGCAGGATTTTTTAACATACACTGGTCATTTGAGAAATATTAAATCACTGAGTTATGTAGCAATTCCAAAAGTTGACAAATTTCACTTATTACTGTATCAAAAAAATCACATTTACATCACCACCGATCTTATTATACAAGTTAAGCATTGGAAAGCTATCAAGCTTATGGTGGGTGATGCATGTTTTACAAAATTCTAATTGTCACTTGAAAGCTGACATTTTATCAATGGCAATAAATAGTGTCAGCTGTTTTCCCTGAAGTGATGGACTTGCTTTGTTCCTTTCGAAGAAAATGGCTGCCAAATAGCCTGAACAACCATAATTTGTCATTCTTCAAGTAAAAACTGTCTTCCGTGAAAAAAATGGCTAGTTCAGCTAGCTACTTAATCACTAAGTGCTCTTCTTTGAGACCAGCATCTTAGTTCAGCGTGCAGACTCAAAGCTTTAAGCATACTTCCCTTCTCGTAACACATGGTACTAAAAAAGACATGTACTCAAGGGTCAAGATTTAATAAAATGAACAGTTAATTTTACGTTCTCTCTCTCATTTTCAAATTTACTGATAATAAATATATTAATTTTAGAGTAATTTTTACCTTGCAACACTTTGATTTCCCCGCTTGTGTCTTTGCAACTAGCACCAGAATTACTACCTCCCTCCAACTCATCAAGGTACAAACGATAGCGATGTCCACTCTCATCTTCGTACTCGACATTTTCATCATCAGAATCCACTTCAGGAGCCACATAAACTACTTCAAATTCAATCTCTCCTCTCTAAAATGAGGGAAGAAAATGAGGAAGTCAAGTTATTTTAATTGTACTCAAAAAGGATTTCCAAATTCCTTGGGGTGAGGGATAGACATGAGAAGGAGACTTCAGATGCAGCCCCTTTCCAGACAAGAAATAATGAAATTTTAGAATCTCATGAGATAGAAGAAAACACAGAGGCCATCATGTCCAGACCAACCCCATTAATCCTAAGTAATTTCCTTTTAATATTACAGTAGCTCTTTCTACTGATGACAGTATTTTTGCTAACAGATCTAATCTAAAAAAAGGATGCTTAACTACTCAACTTACAAAATTCTGGAACAAATATTCCATTAAACAGTCATTCTGCCATATTGTACTTTGCACAGCAATTCAGCAAATCCATCTAAGTGGGCAGAGAGTAAAGTTGCACTTAAGGGCATCACACAAACTTTTCCTTGACTAATTCACAAAACCTTTACACAATGATTTCTTGTTTGTTACTGAATAGGTCTTGAACCTTTTCTTAACTTTCACTGAGTACCACAGTGTGAAGGTAATGTGGTCACTACTAATAATAATTATCATATTTACTATGTGAAACCCTATCTTTCAATGCTCAGAATAACGCTTTTGTAATGCAGTCTCTTTTATATGGATGAGAAACCTGAGTGAGTCCTGAAAGAGCAGATAATTTCCCCAATATGATGAACAAGTAAAACAAAAAAATATAAATTTGACTCCAAAGTCCCTGCTCTTTCTACTAGACTAGATGTGTAACATCTGTACTCCTATTCTTGAATAAAACTTTACATTCGAGTAAAAAGTTACAGATTATTTTATGTTTACAAACCATTCCAAGTCATTTAATAAGAGACTATAGTCACTTCACATGAGTCTGGTATTTGCATCTTTGAAAATTACGGTCTGCCTTTGCTCCAGAGCCAGCGTGTCATGTTTACTGCCACTCACTAGTCAGTCTCCTCTTAAAGAGGTTATGCTTCAGAATTTTAAAATGTGCTTGCATTTCCTTAAAAGTTTATGACTGCCTGTCTGTCTTTCCTTTACCACAGCTGCCATTCGTCTTACCCTGACGCTACTGGATATAGCCAAGTTGGGTTGAGAAAACGCTAACAAAGAGGATAGGGTTGCATTCTTAGATCTCTCTTAGCAGATAAGCTTTAAAAATACCATTTCGGGGCGCCTGGGTGGCTCAGCCGGTTAAGCGTCCAACTTCAACTCAGGTCATGATCACACAGTTTGTGGGTTTGAGCCCCGCTTTGGGCTCTGTGCTGACAGCTAGCTCAGAGCCTGGAGCCTGCTTCCGATTCTGTGTCTCCCTCTCTCTCTGACCCTCCCCTGCTCATGCTGCCTCTCTCTCAGAAATAAATAAAACATTAAAAAAAAAAACTTTTTTAAATACCATTTTAGGGGGTTAGATGGATAATTCAGTGGTCTTCAGTAGTTTTAGATTAAAGAATGAGGTGTGTGCACAGCAGTCATGGAGACAGATTTTAGGCTTAATATGAGGAAGAGCTTTCTAAAAATCAGCAATATACAACATAATGGACTACCTTATCATCAACAGGTCCCCCTCCAATGTAAATATTCGATTAGTGATAAGGCAGAGATTTACACCACATGTATAGTTGAACTAAACAAGCTATAAATTCACTTTTAACTTTCAGATTCAATTCCACACTGATGACCCAACAAAAATCCCAATGTACTGTCAACACCCCTCTAATTTCTTCAACTCTAGTACTTGAAGGAAAAAACAGAACAACAACAGAAACAAAACCCACCTTAAGTTAACCTGATAACAAATAGGACTTGTGGATATGAATCCAAACTCTGTAATTTATTTGCTCTGCAACGTTGATCAAATCATTTAATCCCTAAGAACCTTAGTTTACTTATTTTAAACAAGAGGGTTGGACTAAATGATTTCTAAGGACTCATTCAGTTCTATCATCTATGACTGTAAAACCATCTAGCACTGTTTTTTCTTATAAGACCTTCTATTTGTATAGTGTTTTAGTCATTAATGATTTTTACTTTCTAAGTACTAAGTCCTGTTCTGAGCACTCTAAATGAATCAACACAATCCTGACAGTTCTCAGATAAAGACACTGCCACAGAGGACTTAACGAACTTGCTGAAAGTTACACAGCTGTGGAAAAGGGCAAATAAAATCTTGTTCAGTAAATCTGGCTGAATGTATTCTATAAAAGGCTGAAAGCAAAGGAACCTGATATCTATATATATGAACACTTTTATGACTTGAGAAGCCTCCTAGGGAAGTCCAAAATATTCAAAAGATTCAAAAAAACCAACTGATAGATTCAATTTTAATAATATTAAGGGAGCTTACCTGCTGGGAAAGAATGGTTACAGCTTCTTTATGCTTTGTGTCCCTTAGGTTAACTCCATTAACAGCCAGAATAGCATCTCCAACATGTAACCCTCCACATCTATCAGCAGGTTGCCCTGGGTGGATCTCAGAAATGAGGATTGGAACACCATGTTCTTTCCCACCCTGACCAAAAAAAGGAGGGGGCGGGGGGAAGGGCAGTCAATTAGTTTACTCTTTGTACAGTTACACACTATTTGAACAACAAAATACCTTCTTAAAAATGCATTTCAATAAACATCTATACTATATGTATAAATGCTGAGTGAAATATTACTTCCTACTTAGGTAAGGGTGAATATCCTATTATAAGTATCAATGAGTTATTTCTGAATAAAACAGTAACATGCATGTGCTTTCTAAAACACATTCCAAAGCCCAAAACTCTTTTAAACATAAATATATTTTATGTATTCCATAGCACTATTAGATTTTATCAAATCTGAATCACTATGAACAGTAAGACATACCATTATTTTATGTACTACAAAAATCATTCTAAGAGTGTAATCTCAATTTCAGAGATATTAAAATGTGAAAATATATGCAACAAAGAATGATGAAATGCAGTTATTTGGTGGCTTTCACTTTCTAGCTTGGATCAAAATTATTTGTGTGTATGTGTGTATGTACATACATGTATTATTTGTATATATGTGTATTACTTCTCCTAAAATTTATGTTCTTTGAGGGCAGTGCATTAAAAAAGGTAGGCAAGTATTCAATAAATACTTAACAAATAAACTTATTATAAAAATAATTTCTACATTAAGCAATACCAAAAAAGCAAATGAACTTCTACAGTGTTTAAGCATTACCAATGAAAGATAGAGTAAAGCCATCTTATTCATTCATCTGGAACAAAGCACTAAACAACAGCAAAATGACTCCAAATATATGTAGTTTTTTCTAATAGGGTGCTCTCAGAAATGTTGCCCAAGACAAATGTCTGTAAAGGCATCAAATTAGAAAGGAAGAATATTTGGACCCAAGAGCCAGTGAAATCTGACAGCAAAGAAATGAGACAAGAGAAAGATAACACATACACTCCAGAGACAAGAACATTACAATATGGAGTAATTTAACACGGAAGAAAACAGATCCATTCAAAGGCTCCTAGATGCAACAACAGGACACTGTAAAGAACTATGACCCAAGGCAAAATGAAAATGTTAAATTATGCTTAATAAAGTAATGATTTTACTAAAGCCATACTTAATGGTTATTAGGAAGATTTACATACCAAAAAAAAAAAGTTTACACAGAGTGTTGGTGCCTGGGGGGTTAAATTTATTTATTTAGAGAATATATGCAGAATACTTTGTTTCCCAAGGATGTCCAACACAGAAGCATGATTATACTACATAACTACAGAGAAGGAGACTGGAAGCACTACTTCTTACTGTAATTGAAATGCCAAGGCCTTCATGATCTTCCTTAAGGAGGAGAACTTTTCTAATTGGACCAACACCTTGACTTTTCTTTAAAGAGTCTTGATCCTTATATGGGGGAAAAAAAAAGAAAAATTAGTGCTATTTATTTATTTATTTATTTATTTATTTATTTATTTATTTTTTAATGTTTTATTTATTTCTAGGAGAGAGAGAGAGAGAGCGTGAGCAGGGGAGGGTCAGAGAGAGAGGGAGTCACAGACTGAAACAGGCTCCAGGCTCCGAGCTGGCAGTCAGCACAGAGCCCGACGCGGGGCTCGAACCCATGAACCGCGAGATCATGACCTAAGCGAAAGCCGGGCACTTAACCGACTAAGCCACCCAGGCGCCCCAAATTAGTGCTATTTAAAAGATATATCAAATAGAATAAACCCATGCTATATAGCTCGCTTTTAGTACTCTTAATTAACTTCTTGGAATGGATATACAATAAAGTGTTAAGAAATTAATTAGTAGGTAAAATGGAAAAATGAAAATAGTTGTTCTATTAATATAGTGAAATGTATAGATGATTTTCTCACTCTTAGATTAATTTCTTTTTAATATGGATTCATCTTTTATTTTTTTAAAATTTTTTAATGGTTTTTATTTATTTTTAGGAGAGAGAGAGAGAGAGACAGCGTGAGCAGGAGAGGGTCAGAGAGAGAGGGAGTCACAGATTGAAACAGGCTCCAGGCTCTGAGCTGGCAGTCAGCACAGAGCCCGACGCGGGGCTTGAACCCACGAACCACGAGATCATGACCTAAGCGAAAGTCAGATGCTTAACCGACTAAGCCACCCAGGCGCCCCTAATATTGATTCATCTTTTAAACTGTAGGACATTACAAAGGAAACTACTGCCAGGAATTAACTGATGAGGAAACATCCTCAAGAAATAAAAGTTGGTAAAATGTTTATTTTCACTAGAAAAATATCATAAAGATCTGCACCCATTTTAACTAACTTGTAGAACTGAAAAACAAATTCATAATTGGATCCTTAATTACTTTTTCATTCTGCTAAACTCTGGAGTCTACTTCTTAAATAAAGGACTTTACTCCATTAATAATTCTTTCTCTGGTACCTTTACTCTTTCCTTCTCTGCTAAGCTCCTTCCCTGTTCAACATATAAACAAATCCTAAGCCTTTTCCAGCTTTAAAATACTATCCATGTAAAAACATAAAACAAAATAGAAACCCTTCAATCACCTATTCTCTTCTTTAGTATCTTCCCTCCATCCTTCCTTAACCTTCACACAAAGTCAATCCTAACTATACTTCCTTGCCTCCCACATTCACTATTCCAGTCACTGTAATTAGGGTTTTGCCCCCACCTGCTCCATTAATTAAAACTGTCTTCTCGACAGTCACTGGCAACCAACATGGCTATATCTAATGTATACTTTCTACTCACTATCCTACTTAAACCTTGCAGAAAGTTGATACTGTTCATCACTCTACCTCCTTGAAACTCTCTTCCTTGGTTTCTATTATACTACTTTCCCAGATGGCTTATATCTGACAGCGCCATCTCAGAATCCTACCTTTAAGTGATCCCTTTCTTTCCATCACTCTTTCTATCCTTGGCTTCCTATTCTTTTTCCTTCCTTCCTTCCTTCCTTCCTTCCTTCCTTCCTTCCTTCCTTCCTTCCTTCCCTCCCTCCCTCCCTCCCTCCCTCCCTCCTTCCTTCCTCCCATCCTCCCTCCCCTTTCTTTCTAAATATGTTTTAGGCTTATTTATTTATTTTCAGAGTGGGAAGGGCAGAGAGAGAGGGAAAGAGAGAGAATCCCAAGCAGGCTCTGCACTGTCAGTGTGGAGCCCTAAATATGGGCTCAAACTCATGAACTCTGAGATCATGACCTGAGCTAAAATCAAGAACTGGACACTTAACCAACTGAGCCACCCAAGCACTCCTATTTTTTTAATTTTCTACACATTTCCCTGGGTTAATCAATTCCATTGTTTTTATTTTAACAGATGACTTCCCTAATACTTCTTCAACTCTAAATTCTCCTAAATTCCAGAGTCATATGGCCAACTGGATACATTTTGTTTGACCCAATGGGACCTCAAACACTACATGCTAAAACAAATCTCATCATATTTCCCCCCAAATCTTCCTTTCCTCTATTTGCTTTATCAACGAATGCTATCATTTCACTCAACTGCCCGCACCAAATACCTAGACTCTTCCTTCTCAGTCATCTACTTAACCGAAAGCAGTTAATCACCAAGTCCTCTTGATTCGAATTCTCTCAAACCTGTCCTTCTTCTCAAATACACTTCCCCTGCATCCATCACTTTCTTCCCAGGTTACTACAGTATCTTTCTAATGTCGCTCCTTGACTGCAGTTAGCCCCTCTCCCAGTATATCCTCTTCACTATACCAAAGTAATTTGTTAAAATAATGTTAAGTCTTCAATCCACCATTTTATTAAAAAAATCCCATGATTATCAGGTTAAAGTTGATACTCTTTTATTTAGCATAAAATAATTTTTGCCATCTGGCCACTGCCAAGAATTTAATGGTCCCCAATGTCTGACATTGTAATTCCCTCTTTTTCCCCACCAAGTTCATGTACATATCAATTCTTCTTATAGTCTTTGCAGAGGCAACAAAATACTTTAACTGTTTAAGGCCATACTTTATCTGGTACTAAGATATGTAAGCCATTGGGTAGGAGTCAGACATGCTTTTATTATCAGGCAGCTGTAGTAATGAAATTTAATAAAGATTTATTCAGTATAATGGTAGCTACAGAAACAGACGACTGGATACAGATCTCAAATTCCACCTTAATCTGAGACCAAACAGGTGTAAATATTAACTACGGTTGAATCTAGTTACCAAAAACTTCCTTTAAACTACCCCCAAAATACTTGCCAATTTATTAATATGACTACATGCTCCCTGCTAAGCTTAAAAAACAAATTTAAACATGCTTAATTATGATCCAGGAAAATTCTGAAATATGAACCAAAGTGTAAGTAATATATATTTGCGAGCAACAGTTCAGTTTTCAGAAATATCAGTTTTAGGACATTTGAGGATAAGTCAGAAAAGAACTATATGTATCTGTTCTCATTCAGTTTTTAAATAATGGTTTAAATACTAGAATAAAAAAAAATGGAAGGGACTGCTGACTAAAGAAAAGAAGAGGTCAAGCAGGAAGCAGGAACAAAGCAAACATACGTGGCCTGGAGGGGCTTGCATTGGTCGTTTTAGGTCATTACGTCCTCTACAGGCTCTGATCACAGTTTTGTGACGATGTAAATGTATTTCGGCTTCCAACTGGTTCCAAAGCTTATCATGAGCTGGTCCCTTCATATCTCGTCCTAGTAACTGTATTTGCTGGACCCTTTATGTTGGGAAAAGAGGTAATTCTATTAGTTTTTGATTATTATAATTTTTATTAGAGAGAATTCATAAAATTACTGAACACAAATAGCTTTTGCATAAACCCAAGTTAGTAATAAAATTACTATTCAGGAATCTCCTGATGTCTTTCAGATTTGTAAACCATGAGAACTCTGAAAAGAACAGATGTCTTCAAGGGAAAACTAGTTTTAAAAAAAAAAGAATGAATGAGACCTTTTCTAATCATATACTTAATTCAAATGCATCTAAAAAACAACTTTTGAAACTAACGTCAGTGAATGTGTTTCATATCTTGCATGCAATCAGGGTAGGTCAATAAAATCAGATACTGTTGACTGCTAGTTTTCACATGATACTATCCATACAAACATTTCTTTTAATGGCAGCTTTTTACAAAAGATAATTTTAAATATGGTAAAAGTTATTAGAAAATATATACTTCAACATGACAGAAATTATTTTTATTTGCTTCACATCATTTCTTAATATGATATCAAAAATTATTTACCAAAATTAATAAGTCACCAAAGTTTGTGAGTAATTATTTGTAAAATTTAATGCAAGCAGAACTATTTTAACGATAAATTCACTATCATTCAAACATGTTTTGTAGGGTGAAGAAAGATTGGGTTTAATGATCACAGAAAAAAATTCCTTATGGAAGTCATGCTGTACATGTGAACATTATCTTTTATGGTTTCAAGGCACGAAATGGCTGAAAAGGGCAGATCTGGGGTTATTAGCATTTCACAGTAAGTTCCTATCAGAGTCTGTGTTTATATGTATGTGTAAACCAGAAATACTTATGTAGTATGGCTAAATAAATCTGCAAGATACAATGCTGACAATATTAACAATAGTAAGCTATAGCCAACTATAAAATAACTTTTAAGGTAAAGATTAATGTTTCATCATTAAATATCTAATTTGTTACCTAAGAGTACAGAGTACCCGTTTTTTACACACCTTCCTGCCAGTTCCTTATCCAAGTACTTGGCAGCCAGTCTTGCCCCATAAACTTCAGCCTGTAGAACAGCTATATGTCTACGAAGGGCTTCATTCTCTTTTCTCAACAACTTCACTTCAGCTTCAAGTTGAGCTTCTTTCATTTTTTCTTTTTTGTTTGCTTCAAGCTCTCTCTCCTAATTAAAAGATAAAAAATAAAAAAAACCCCAGCACAATGTAATGAAAGTACATTTAAGACTTTTTTAACAACAGACCAATTTCCTCAAAATACATAAAAGCACACAATCTACAATACCAACAATGAAAGCATATGATAAAAGTGACCACTTCATTTCTGTGAAATGAAATAAAGATTTGGATACAGTTCTTTTAAACTAGTACCAGAAGGTGTTGGGACCACTTCCATGTAAGATAATTGCATTCTTGGAGTACTCTAACACTGAGGATACTAAGAGATACTGAAGATACTTAGTCTTCTCTAAGTTCATGTCATCACATACTAATAGGAGTGGTTTCAATGAATAATTGAATCTGCTCTCTATTTACTTTCTAAGAATGACTCAAGAACCTAGACTAGAATAAAAATAATCATTCTGGTGGTTGTACCCAAACATTTATTTAATTTTAAGGCAACAATTCTATAAACAAGTCAAAATCCTTAAGCTGTGAATAGATTCCACAGCTAATTTACCTTAAAGGACTATAAGAAAGTTAGACTGCTTACATTAGAACACATATTCTAATTTTTTAAAGAACATTTGATGGAAAACAATAATAAAGAACATTTGGTAGTAATGGAAAAATGCTGGTAGCAACTGTATTGAAACCATGTTAAAAAAATTTCTCTACGTGAGCATATGTATGGTACAGATTATCACTGAATTTGGGTATCTCATTTTTTGTCCATATGTTAAAGTGAATGAAGAACTATTTGCTGAGGAAAACAGGGCCCACTGTCTATTATGAGGTAGTATAGACATCCATTTTTAGCTCTCCTAAAAGGATGGCATCCTATGTTCCACTTGGTAGATAGCCCATATAAGTGAATTACAAGTTAGAGTATAAAACCTCAAGATCTTTGCTATCAAATTTTTATCACAAGCTCACATGTGAGAAATAATGTTCAATTTACCTTAAAATTATATACAGTATGTCTATCCCTATAAATCAGGGATTACTAATGTAAATGCCTTCAGGACCCAAACACAAAACAGGCTGACACAAGACAAAGTAGAGTGGAAAACAGAAGGTACAAAATCTAAAGGCAGTCAAGTTCAAATACACACACAAACTCTGTGGCCAAACAAAACTTCTGTTTTGGATCAAGAAAACTATCCACACACTGTAAACTTCCATTTATTTATCCTAAGTAGAAGTGTTTTTACTGCCTTACAGAACTGCTTTTACCAACTTACTGATTCACAGCATCTATGAATCTTGTGACACTGTGGCTGTATTTGTGGACGAGCTGTGAGGACACTGTTTACTGTGTCCCCTTTGTGAGATTTAAAGACTTATGGGTACCTGGGTGGCTCAGTCAGTCAAGCGTCCAACTCCTGATTTCAGCTCAGGTCATGATCTCAGGCCTCATGACAGGCTCTTCAAGGAGTGCAGAGCCTCTTCCCGCCCCTCTCTTTCTGCCCCTCCCCATGTGTGCAGTCTCCCTGAACATAAATAAACTTAAAAAAATATATTAAAAAAAGATCTACTTCAGCACCAGAAAGATTTTTATCTTGAGCAAATGGCAAGTGTTATTGTTTCTATTGTTTGGGTACTGATTATTGTAATTATTTCCCTTTTTATTCTGGATATTAAGAAGCTTAAAAATAAATTTAAAAACCTTTTAACAATTCATGGAATATATTTTGGTACTAATTTAACTGTCTGCTTTGGTCAACTGTTCTGACAACAGTATATCAATAAATGATATAAATATCACTTTATTCGTGATATACTCAAATACAAGGGAGTGGGTACCACTAACTTAAACACAAAAACATAATATACAAGCTAAAATGAGTAACTACCAAATGTTGGATATACTTATCACCTCTTTGATTAAAAATATGTTATTATTATAAATAGAGGAAAATTAAATTAGCAGGCTTTTTCAGCTTCTGTTAAAAAAAGTAACCATAAAAACATAACTTCTAGATACCGTTTTTAAAGAATTTGAAGAACTAATAATCTAGAATCCTCTTTTTATAACAACTTTGGAATTACTAAAATTGCAATTTATTTCAGAACCTATTTCCTAAAAGGCAAGTATCAGTTCCAAAAAACCCCCCAAAGTTTGGATAACATGAACAAAAGTCTTTCTTATGGCATTTACTGGGGTTAACGCTGTTTGTGTCAGAAAAAGAGTTCCTAGAAGGCCCAGTATTCTTTGGTTTGTGGGCTAAATAAACTTTATGTTAAGAATTATCTACTTAGAATTATTTCAATGAGCTATTTATGTAATATTTATGGAATGAGAAACACATATTAAGCCATCACTTTGTTTTCACTATTCAAACCCCTAATGAATCTGACAAACTCTTAGGCCTAAAAATAACACTTGCAACCATGAAAAGGACAAAGAAAATTGAAGTTAATCACTTTTAAGTTTAAAGAAAAAAAATGTTTTAGTTAACCTGTTTATTATTAGGTAACAAACAAGAAGCTCATATTGTATTTAGATAGTCAAACACTATAATTTCAAAAGAAAACCATAAGATAAATTGGAGGCTGATTAGACTGGGAGAATGGGAAAAATATTAAGAACTTACATTTTGTTATTTTCTAAAAAAATTCTGGTATGGAGTTTCAAAATTCAGTTGTTTCAAAGGCCACACAATTATTCCAAGACTACGAAAAAGTTATGACACATGCAGTAGATGAGTAAGAAACCAACATGCACATTCTTTTTCTGGGGAGAAACTCAAATAGAAGAAAAGAGCTGCTGCTTCTGCTTAATGTATCTTCAAAATATTCAGGTGAGAAAACCAATTGCTCTTTTGAAGTAGAGGTTTGAGCAAGTTACAAGGCTCAGAAGTTGTCAAATATTGATGGGCTCTGCAAATAATGATTATAAATCACAAACAAAAGAAAAATCTTTGACAACATGAAGTGAGAAAGAGCAATGGGCCACCAACTGAACTTTTCAGGTACTGGCACATTAAAGAATTACCATTGTGAACATCATTTTCAAATACAAAGTGACAACATATAATATGCAAATAAGACACTAAAAACACTTCAACATGACATATTAAAGCAAAACAGAAACAGCAAACTTACCAGCTCCTCCACAGAGGGGACAGACTTAAGATATAAGAAAAAAGTTTTATAATTAGAAAAATATCAAACAAATGAATTTATCTAGTGGTATAATCATTATAAGGAAAATTCCCATATGCTGAATATCATTTGGATAAAGTTCGTTAGAACAAATCTATTTGCAAATCCAAAAGCAATAGTAACTATTTAGCATTAGATTAAAATTTTTTGTTTTACCAAAATAAGTCAACTCAACTTGTTCAGTGCCTTTCCACTACAGTACCCTGTTTAAGATCTAATGTTAAAACTTCAATTCCTTTCTACTGAAAATATACATTGTTGCTCAATGTTAATATCCAATATCCCAAAGAAGCAGTTACAAATCTAACTCACTTCAGTGAAACAAGACTACTAACTTATATTCATAAAATTTCTGAATTTTAAAGGTTTGAGAATGTAGATATTCATTTAAATAAATTCTAACATAGCAGTATTAGAAACTAATCAACTAATCAAATGGAATTAACTGAAAACAGGAACTTAACAATGTATTACTATCATCATTATCATTTCACATCCTGCCTGTCCCAAGCTGTATGTCTTATTGCTGTGTCCCCTGTGGTCAGTAAAGCGTCTGGCACATAGTACACACTTAATACATAAGAAATCAAGTGGACCTGAGACTTAAAAAATTTTTCTATTTAAACAACCTATATTATGAAGGCAAAGATTAATTATGGAAAATTTACACAATGACTACTATACAAACCTTACAAAATTTTAGTGGCAGGAAAAATGTGTCTATGAAGAGCGACAGAAAAAACGTGCCACTGGCTGGCACCCAATTCCACTTTCCCCTTCATCCTTACTGACAGAACTCTTAGTTTTACTGAAGGTGGTCATGTGACCAAGAGGCTGAAATGCGAGTTGCAATAGTCAATAGGATGGCTAAACTGACTGGCAAAAATGGCTGAGGAGGATTTCAAGAAAAGTTCCTTAAAGAAGGTTAATACAGTCTGGAAGCACCCTTTTGCTCTTTTCTTTGCACCCTTCTTCCTGTCTGGAAGGAAGAAATCCTAAAGTTGGAAACTCTGAGCTAAACATGGCAGAACACAAGAATAAAATGAACCTGGATAGCCAGTATCTGGAGAGCTATCGTATCAGCTCTGGACCGCATATCTCAGGGGTTGAGAGAAAACAGTTTGTACTATTCAAGAATAATCCTAGTGTTATTTGGATTTCTGTTATATATGCAGCTGAATTTAATCCTAACTGATCCGATAGGGGGGAAAATGTTTACATGTTATAATCACAAATATCTTTTAAATATATGTAGACAGCAATTTTCAAATAGGGAAAAAAATCCTATTCTAAGTATCCGTTGCTTATTAGTATTATTAGTTATTACCCCTAAGTGATGAGACAGTGGATGATAATGATTTTTATATTGCTTGTTTTCTCTAGATTTCCCACAATGAGCACATATTACCTTTTATAATCAAAAGCCTTATTAAAAACTGTCCTCTTTACCCTCTAAAACACATGTCAATATTCGTTACCTTCTAAACTACTTACCAGTTTTGCCTTAATAGTACCAGAGTCAACACTCTGGCCAGTTTTAGCGTGAAGCTGAAGCTGGATAGAATGCAACTGTAAAAGCTGATCGTGGACTTCTTTTTCCAACACAACTTTCTCTGCCTGGGTCTCTGTCAGTTCAGATTTCAGATCTACCAACTGTGCCTTATAAAACAACAATAAAAAACATCAAGTAAGCTTAATTTTCTTTATTTTGACTCAAATATTAAATATTCAAAAAGGAGCCAGACTACCTGTGAAATGAACAAATGAACACCAGAATGAATAGACGAAGTGACTGATCTATAAGACATCCATTTAAATAGTCATAAATTCAACTGCACAGGTAATATATCTGAATCTACTATAAATAGCATCTTCTTTTATTTTTTTTAGTAATCTCAACACCCAACGTGGGACTCAAACTCACAACCCCAAGATCAAGAGTTGTGTGCTCTTCTGACTGAGCCAGCCAGGTGCTCCAATAAACAGAATCTTTCAATACAGAATGCTACTTCCATTTTACTTTGCTTACTTTAAGAGGGCTTTTCACTGTTCTGCCTTTACCTATAAAATTTCTGAAAATATAAAGTTATGGGATGGCTCACCATCCTTAAAGATAACATGTGCTATAGTGGTTCACTAACATTCATGGTGTATTAGAGGAGAGGCCAGCCCATACGAGTCCATCCACTATCTATCTAGTCATTATTTTAGGTGCTAAGGTGTGAATCACTGATATTTAGGTCCGGTCACAACAGACCTAAATATCAGAGTTGACTATAAGCTACAGTTAACTGTTACAACACAGCAGAATAACTCCTCAAAACCATTTATCCATTCAAGTTGAAAGTTTTTAATTTTTTACAACTGATATGTTTTATAGTTGTGCACAGGATGTCTCTCCTGTGTCTGGTCTTCCCAATCAGCCAGTAGATCAAAGACTAAGAAAAAGCCTTAGTTTTCTATTTAATTCAACATAATTGTACTAAGCATCAAGGGACTCAGAACTATGCTAGCTCAAGGAGAAAATAATTGGGGAAAATACTTTTAGAATTATAGATGATAATTATTTATGTCTTGGAGAAGCTTTCTTATTAACTAAGGTGATATACATGCGAACCAACTAAAGTAAAATGTGGCAAGTTATGGGTACATTTAGAATCGATCATCCCAAGGAATTCAAAGCAAAGGAAGGTTTAAAAGAGCGTTAGTGAGGGATAGAGAGTTTAGAAATGCTTTGAAGTTAAATAACAAGGACAAAATTGTAGTACTACAACAGTCTAGAGATGGAAAGACTAGAAGAGGCAGAGAGAGAAGCAACTTAGAGAAATTCTCTGGGTATAAGCGACCAAAGGACTAAAATACATCTCTACATCCCAACTGCACCAGTCAGTGCCTAGTACATAAAAGATGCTCAATAAATATCTTTAAGTTGAAATGAATACTAATACTAGCCCTGTGCTTCCACATAAACCACTCCATCTTCATTGAAGTTTCTCCAATTTTAAATCAGGAAATAACTTAATTATATTTACTATATTTATTTATTATATTTGTTATAATATTATTTAATATCATGACTTTGTTCTCATAAAATTATTCTTTTACATGAAAGCACTTACTAGAATATGAAGATGTTATTAGCAAGGAGGTTAGACAACTTAGAGAAGCTGTGTATTCACAGAATGCCCTGGACTGGATAAATGACTAGCTCTGGATGAAAGACCAAAACAGATTTAATCTCATAGGAATTCACCATATACTCTCAAAGACATTTTTGTTTTTGTTTTTAATAACAGCTTTATTGAGATAGATCCCCATGCCATAAGATTCACTCTTTTAAAGTGTATGATTGGGGCGCCTGGGTGGCTTAGTCGGTTAAGCGTCCGACTTTCGCTTAGGTCATGATCTCGCGGTTCGTGGGTTCGAGCCCCGCGTCGGGCTCTGTGCTGACTGCCAGCTCAGAGCCTGGAGCCTGTTTCAGTCTGTGACTCCCTCTCTCTCTGACCCTCCCCTGCTCACGCTGTCTCTCTCTCTCTCCTAGAAATAAATAAAAAACATTAAAAAAAATAAATAAATAAAGTGTATGATTAAGTGGGTTTTAGCATATTCATAGAGTTATGCAACCATCATCGTGTGTAACTCTGAAACATTTTCTTCCAATGACATTTTAGCAACAGGCTTCTTGCAGGTAAGGTGAAGACAGGGACATTAGCAACACCTAACTGTAGCTTTCTAAATGATGTTATCATGGGGCTCTGTGCTGACAGCTCAGAGCCCGGAGCCTGCTTCAGATTCTGTGTCTCCTCCTCTCTCTATGCCCCTCCCCCGCTTGCACTCTCTCTCTTGCTCTCAAAAATAAATTTTAAAAAATAATTATAAATAAATAAATAAGTAAAGTTATCATGGTAACTTTGTACATGGAAATAAAGCAATTCACAATGCTGAAAGGAAATTGTTGGCCAACACTTACAGATCAGATGTCCAATGGAAAATTAGATCAACAATAACAAGTATTTCAAGTTTAGAGAACAGTGAAACCACTGAAGGAAATAGGAAGATCAAGATAGTAGCTTATTCTAACATGAGGGAGGAAGAAGGATGAGCTTAAGTTTTATATGTGCTGATTTTTGTATCAGCCATGATATAATCAACAGAAACTATCCCACAGAATTTTGGAAATAAAAAACAAGTGACAAACTGGGACTAGGGGTGGCACTAAAAGCACAGAGATAGGAATTTATATCCTAAGACTGAATTAAAGGAAAAACAGTGGCCAAAGACTGGGGCTTGGGTAATAACTAGAGGTAGAAGACAAGAGGTGGCATGCTATAAACCAAGGTAAAATGTTTCATAATATAAACACTGCTGCATTTTGCTTTTGTTACTTGTTAGACATCACTCTGTATTAGAAGAACTTCCTCATTCCTTTTCATATTTTTATTCATGTATAACTTACATCAGAAAGTATACACATGATGAATTCTATAAATTAAACAAATCTATTTATCTACCAGCCAGATAAAGAAACGGGGCAGTACTAGCACTCCAGAACTCTCCTTGAGGCTGCTTCCCAATCACTACCTCCATTTTCATCCACAGGCATAACCATCAGAGTCACACCCTGAATTCTAACATCACAGATAGCTTTGCCTGTTTTTGAATGTTATATGAATAGAATCTATGGTATGCTTTCACTCATGCCTGGCTTTTGCTTCAAGATTATAACTGTGAGACTCCTTCATGTTTTGTATAAGCTGCCGTTCATTCATTTACATTACTACAGAGTATTCATTAAATGAATATACCAAAATTTTTCATTTTCATTTTACTTTTGATGGACACTTATGCTGTTTTCCAGCTTCTGTTAAATTGATGTTGCTCTAAATGTATCTTTTGGTACATACAGAATTCAGTTGAGTTATATCTAGGAGGGAAAACTGCTGGTTAAAGTGTATGAATATGTTAAACCTTGGTAGGAAGGGCCAGTATTCTAAGTGATTGTAGCAACCGACATGACATGCCCACTGTGTAGGAAAACTGTGATAGCTTCACAACCTTGCCTTCACGTGGCATTGCCAGTCTCATAATTTTAGTAGGAATGCAGGAGATTCCCATAATTTTAATTAAATCTTTTTGATTACTAATAAGGTTAATCACTTCTTCCTATGTTTATTGGCCACCAAGATATTCTGTTTTGTAAAGTGCCTGCCAAGTCTCTTGTCTATTTTTCTACAGGGTTATTTATTTTTCTGACTACAGAAGTGCTCTTGCATGCACACACTCTCTCTCTCTCCCCTTCCCTCCAAACATATAGATACACACACCAGCACACTTATTATCATGAGTAGGAGAAGAGGCAAAAAGGGGGTAAAGGAGACTGGAGCAACAGGCTTTTAGGAAGTAAGTCATGGGATGGAAGGTACAGGATAGGGAATATAGTCAATGGTATTACAGTAGCAATGTATGATGAGAGATGATAGCTACACTTGTGAGTATAGCATACAGAGTTGTTGAATCACTACCCCGATACTAATGTAATATAGTGTGTCAACTATACTTCTATATTTAGAAGCATATGCTAATATACATGGTAGCTAACTGTTCTTTAAAGAAAAACAAAAAACCTTGCATGTATGATAAACATGTATGGTAAACAGATCTTCTTCCCTTTAACAACAACAAAAATGCCCACCAAAGAAAATCACAAACATTTAAGATCCCCTTTTACCAGACAATGTTCAGTACATTTTAAAGACTGCTCCTTAAAAGTCTTGTCTAGAAAGTTCTTTTTAGTCAAAACAAAACAAACAACCTACAGGTTTTTAGTGTTTCAAACAAAATAACCACAAAAGGAAAACAAAGATTTGAATAATATGCACTCTTCTTAAGCAATATGAAGTTTATGGTAAAGTGAACCTATACCCAGAAAAAGTTTAATATAAATCATTTACTCTATAACAACCCTTACCTCTTTTTTCATTACATTTGCTTTCATCCTGCATTAATCTTATTATTTCTTTACGGTGTTATCTAATATACTCCTCTATTTCTTACATTTTTTATAAACTGGAAGTTAGATCTAAAGGTTTAATTAGGGGCACCTGGCAGGCTCAGTCAGTAGAGCATTCAACTCTTGATCTTGGAGTTAGAAATTCAAGTCCCACGTTGGGTGCAGAGATTACTTAAAAATTTTTTAAAAACTCTTTAAAGGTTTAATTAGATTTACTTAATTAAATCTTTGTGGCAGGGGGTATACTGTGTGTTTCAAAAGGCATACACTGCCTGGTAGCCCCACAATGATTTATCTTTCAAATCAAGAATCTCATGATTCATTAATAACTGAGTAAAACTTTTGGAGTTAAGAAATTAAAGGGGCATAAGTGGTATTTATTAATTAATTTGGCAGACTAATATTCAAATCAGAAATGATTTTATTCTAAAAGGGCAAAGAAAACAGGGTGGTACACAGGTTTTTTTGTATGTGGCCCATTACAAATACAGACTCTTCATTAAGTCAATTTCTCAAGAGGTTGCTCAACTTAAAAAGTAAGAAAAAATTCTTGGGGCACCTGGGTGGCTCAGTTGGTTGAGCCTCTGACTTTGGCTCAGGTCATGATCTCATGGTTCCTAAGTTCGAGCCCTGCATCAGGCTCTGTGCT